AAAACATTTCCAAAGCACCTTTTTAGGTAGAATTTAAATAATTTTTTTAAAATTAATAATTTAAGAATTATCAACAGAAAATTTGATTTTTTATATGGGACGCCTTGTATATTTTTAATTTACTGAAAATAATTTAAAATTACCTTTCCAAAAATATAACACACTTGATATTTTGCTCGATTCCTCTTCGAGATATAGGGTATATAAAAATTCGCCCGCTTTAAATAAGTAGGCTTTGAGCTGTGAGCTGGATGCAGAATTTTATAACAATTTAAAATATATTTAACCAACATCAACACATTTAAAGTATATCTAATAACATTAAAAATAAATAGCAAACCAGGACATGAGATTTTGCTACAGGTGTACGACATATCGACCGTCTTCTGTTATGGACAGACGGGGCAGTTTTTGAACATTTCTCGCCGAATTCATTACCTCAGTGGGGGTGAAAGATACCTTCTCATAACTGCTAAGTATTTCTAATCCTTGTCTAGATTATACGGAAGAATAAGGAACCTTTATTCTTCCGCAAATATATCCATAGGATTAGATCTATATGGGCACTAAGTCAGGCGGCCTCGATTCCTATTCAATTATTCTTGAAATTGGCTGCAAAAATTTGCTGATAACTTCAGCGTTCAGAGGCGATGCGTCGTCTCGCTGGAAAAATATGTTTTCGAGTTCCATTAAGGGCATATCATCAATAAGGGGTTCAAAGCCTACTATCTAGTTAACAGTGGCGAACGTTTAAAAATTCTGTATTTCGAAGGGGATTATAACAAAATATCATGTGTGATATATTTTTGGAAAGGTAACTTTAAATTCTTTTCAGTTAATTAAAAATATAGAGGGTGTCCCAAATAAAAAATCATTTTTTCTGTTGATAACTCTTAAATTATTAATTAAAAAAAAAAAATACTTAAACCAATAAATTCTACGTAAAAAGGTGCTTTTGAAAAGTTTTCATAGAAATCCAAAATTTTCCATAGCAAAAAAGTTACAGCGATTTGTTAAAAATGCACATTTTTGGAAAACACCCCGTAACTCCGAAACGGTAACAGATATTGATGTGCGGTTTTCACCATCATGTTTTTGATGAAAATTGAGCTCAGACACCGATATTAGTTTTCGTCTATCTCCTTTAGAAAAGGGTGTTTCCATTTAAAAGCGTCAAATTTGACCCACCCTGTACATGATGTTTGTCTATAATCTTCAGAATATTCAAAAAAATGAAGAATATGCAGTAACAAACTATTGGCGACTGTTACATGATCTATTTTGTATAAAATTATTTTTTTAAAAGCGCAACTAAAAAATATTAATTGATGTATCCGAGCGTTTTTTGAACATGCCCCCTTTATTTATTATAGAATTTATTCCATATCGATTTTACACGCTGTATATAAATCCTTCTAAAATATTTGCTGGCTTTTGAGAATCTCATTTTTATTTTTATTTTCATTCAGACCGCGATACGGCCATTTAATATCAGCCTATTGATTGATATTCATTACTTGTAGATTTTGCTGTGGCGTGTCCTCACTGATCGAGCTCTGCCACAAACGTTTTAATGGCTTGGACGCAAAGCGAACTTTTTTTGTCCTTCCAAGCAATTTCCTGCGATTTTTCGTTCTTTCGCGATGAATAATGAGAAGGAAATTGTTCGATTTTTTCTTTATTTATATAATAACAGTCCGCTCCTAAGGCTGATGTTAAATTCCTTTTATGCATATTTAATTTATGTAATACGAGGCGTATTAAATTGCGAGTCAGGCGACGCGACGCCGACGTCGAAAATGTCACGTCGACAATAGAATTGTTGATGCGACAACTATAGTGCCAACATCCACTTGCCTACATTACCAATTGATGCAACAGCTACTAGGTACAGCTTCAACAACAAATTTAATATAACCATACCAGGAAGGGAAGACTGGAGTAAAGGTGTACCCATTCAAGCTGAGGCAACCTGGTATACAGACGGCTCAAAAACGTCAGAAGGCGTAGGAGCTGGAATAGTAGGGCCGAAACAAGGGAGATCCTTCCACGTAAGCCTTTCCAAGGATGTCACAATTTTCCAGGCAGAAATAACGGCAATCCACTATTGTGTAGAAGAAATAATAAGGCAACAAAGAACGAATCGTTCTGTGGCCATCTTTACAGACAGCCAAGCGGCGCTAAAGGCACTCAGCTCCGCGGAGGTCAATTCTAGACTAGTGTGGGACTGTGTGCGTGCTCTAAATACTTTGGGCGGACGTAGCACTGTTTCGTTGGCCTGGGTGCCAGGGCACGAGGGTCACAAGGGCAACGAAAAGGTAGATGAAAGGGCCAAGCAAGGCTCATCAATGCCATTCATAGGCCCAGAACCCTTCTGCGGCGTTGCAAAGGCGGTCACGAGAATGGCCACGGAGCGATGGGTGGCCAACAAATCTCTAGAATGGTGGAGAAACTCACCAGGGCAGAGACAGGCGAAAAGGTTCATTGTAGAACATTCGCCAAAATTCACGGTAGACTTGATAAGCAAGGACAGAAAGACAGTCAAAGCTGTAGTAGGTCTACTAACAGGGCATTGTAAGCTAAATAGGCATCTAAAGCTGATGGGATTGACAGACGAAGCTATGTGTAGGTTCTGTCAATCTGAAGAAGAAACGTCAGAACACATTTTATGTCGGTGTGACAGCCTGGCAAATGTGCGGTTCCCGGTAATAGGCAATGATAGGCCATTGCCAAGGAGCTACATGGAGGGTTCAGTCTCCAAGTTGCTAAACTTTGTTAAAAGGATAGGACTGGAGAATGTAATCTAAGGATCAGAAGAGGACCACAATAGATCTGAGAAGGTCGCAGTGGATCAGGCCGAAAGCCACCTCTAAGAATCTAATCTAATCTAATCTAACATCCACTTACTAAATGACGTTGTCTTTCCTCTAGGAGATGCGAGACGTTGTCGATGGTGGAGAAGCTCTTAGTCAGGTGTTAGGAAGAATCCCCTCTAGCATTTTCGGACATATTTTAAGTAATGTTTCTAATCATCGTGTCTCTGTTTCTTGACACAAAATGGAAACGGTATGCCACAAATAGGAAACATTTTCAAAACATATATATTTTATATGGCTTTATTGCACGTGTTTCCAATGTGGTGGCACCAGGGCCGTCCTTAGACTGTTGGCCGCCTGGAGCAAGCCCGAAAAAAAAATTTTGAAAAATTTTGAAAATCGGTCGAGTCATTGAGAAAATATGAAGGATTGAAATTTGAAAAGTTTATTTAAACATTTATCAGAGTAAATGATAAGGATAAATTCCTTCGGCAAATTTGAGGTTTTTTCTTATTATTTCTAGATGTTTACACATTTTTTCACTTGCCACGAGGTTGAACGATCAGGTGCGGTAGTTGCTAGATAGCTGTTCTGTGTCTTGTGCGTTGAAGTTCTTCTCAATATCGTTAAACTGACCTACAATAGAATTTCCAAAAATACCAGCTCACACGTTTAATTTCTGAGGGTTTTGTGTGTGCACCTCGTGAAAAACCCTGGGGTTGTCTTCAGCCCAGTACCGACAGTTGTGCCGATTAACTATACCGTTCAAAAAGAAAGTACACTCATCCAAAAAACACACATTAAATAGGAAATTATTATCATTCGCCACTCGTTCACTCATCGTTTCACAAAATTGCAAGCGACGATCAAAATCGTCTTCGTTGAGTTCTTGTACGAACTGAATTTTGTACGGGTGGAACGGCGTTTTTTTAATATCCTTTGGACACTTGTACGATTCACGCCGGTCTCATTGGCTAATTTTCTTGTACTCAGCGTACTATCCATGGCAACTTATCCAATACGAATACCTCAATAGCTTCATTTACTACAGGATTTTACCTCTGCCTCTTTTTATTCATAACAGAACCAGTTTCGCGAAATTTTGATACTAACTCGCGAACAATGTTGCCATAAAGGTGGTTGTCAGGATGGCGTTCATTGAATATCTGCGCAACCCGATTGCCACATTCATTATTTTTTAAATAAAGTTCGATTATTTCCACTTTTTCTGCAAGTGAGTAGGGGAAAACCGCTATGAAGTGGACATATTATTAAAAGGAGTTATATTAATTATTAATCGATAATGAAATGAATTAAAAACTACATAGGTTGAAAGCTTCATCAATATGCTTTTAAAATATATTACTAAATTTATTTTGGAAATATTGCAATTGGGAGTAATATCTAAGTTTGAAGAAAGTTGCTTTTGGTTTGGTCATTATTTGAAAACATCGATGTATTGGATTGGACAGTAGTGGTTATGAAAAGGACATTTATGTTAAAAGACATTAATTGCTTCAAAAATAACTTTAATTTAAACAAACTATATCTTAAGAGCAGTATTACAATAAAAATTTCGAATACCCTGAATACCACATGTTTTATGTGCCCAAGAAGAACATAAGAAACACTTTAACCAGTCTGTCTTGCTACATTGATACGCTTCCTTGCAACAGACACAATTATCTTGATTTATTACGTTATTGTTTTCGTTAGGTTGAGTGTTGGGTTCTCTGTTTTTCTTGGTATAAATTGGCATAGAGGAACTTTCTTACTTGACTGTTCACTATCATTAAGTTTCTTCCGGTGGAAGTAATTCACATCAAAAATCCTTCTTCCGTCATTCAACCACTTGGATTGGAAATTCCTTTTGCGACACTAGGCCCTTCTTTCAGCATAATTTCCTTTAAAGTGCACTCTGGGAAATATAAAAACAGGAGGAATTGTTCCTCCAGAGGCATTAATAAATCCAAGCATCGTAACTAAATTACCTCTTTCGACTGAAGTCACTTGCCCGACCTGTTTTGAACCTCTAGTTGCTAAACTTTTGGAGGATTTGTAACCGTGAGACAGCCGGTTTCGTCTAAATTCCAAATCATATGGGGCTTAAATTTATGTGTTTTCCAGAGCTCGCTCCAAATTGCTATAAAATTACTGACATTCGTTGGATTGAATGAAGTCGCTCTAGAGAGAGAAGTGTTTTCTGAGTTTTCTTAAATTTAATGTTAAATTTCTTTTCATAAAACCAAGTAGCCAGTCTTTTGATGTCATCTTCTTTTCTTTCCAAGGTTTCGGTAAAATTCCCTGAGCCTTTGCATACTGGTAGGCAAGTTCCTTGACTTGCACGGTTGTGAGACCGTAACACATCTTTGATGATGTTTTCAGATAATCAACCAATAATTTTTCCTGTTCAAGGGAGAAAATACGTTTATTAACTATGTTAGGTCGATGACGATAATCTTCCTTCTGAGTTCTAGCTCTTTTACAAATTGAAGCTACCGACCGGATAGATTGATTTTTATCAAAAACTTCTCTTACGGCGGTTTCGATTACATCACTGGCTGGTCGTAACCTTTTCTTTCGTGTAGAAATAGTGATCTGAAAAATAAACAACTAATTTTAATGAAAAGTTTAAAAATTATCTACTATTCCTTAACAAACTTGTCACAAAGCCTTGAAAAGGACATGTAGTATTGAAACGGACACGTCCATTTCAATACGGCGTCTTGTGTCCATTTCAAGACAACACCCACTTAACCACTAAATGACAATATAAAGTGTAAATAGAGAAATATTTTATACGGTCTAAACCTTCATTTGTGTACTATAATAACTTAGTTTTAAACTTATTAATCTGAATTTGACAAAATTTCAATAGCTTACCTGTGACATAGTTCGATATTTTCACAAAGAAAATTAGTTTTTTAACACCTAATATTAAAATTCTTGCCGCCGAGACACGATCAGCCAGTTCAACCTGCAATTTTGGTGGTAATGGAAGCGGCGCGCGGTGTTGCCAAATGTAACCGTAAAAGTTTCGGCTATTCAATCAAATAGGACTTAAGACAAATGTCCGTTTCAACACCCGTCCGTTTCATAGCGGTTTTCCCCTATACCATAATAATTGTTAAAAAATTTAACGATATTGAAAAGGACTTTAACGCATCACAGAACAGATATTTAGCAATTACCGCACCTGATCGTTCACCCTTGTGGCAAGAAAAAATGCGTAAACATCTAGAAATAATAAGAAAAAAGAGCAAATTGGTCGAAGGAATTTATCCTTATCATTTACTCTGATAAATGTTTAAATAAACTTTTCAAATTTCAATCCTTCATATTTTCTCAATGACTCGACCGATTTTCAAAAACGAAGCCGGGAAGTATAGAGAATAGAAAGTCCTTTTCATTGCGGTACTACTTGACTCCCCTTCCTATTTGAAAAAAAATGGGAGATGACACCCCCGCTTAGAGGGTTGAAGATTTTGCAATCATTTTTGGGGTAAAAGTTGTGCCCCTCACAAACAAAATTGACGTGTTTTTGAATGTTCTGAAAAAAAAAATTACTCTGGCCGTTATGCCTTGCGGAACGATTTCTATGGGCCACCCTGTATATAAATTAATATATTGATAAATATGATAATATATTGATAATATCAAACGCTTTCCGAAAAAAAATAGAAAATAATATTGCAAGATTTTCAGAATTAACATTTAAATTTTGTATTTAAAAAAAGCGTCACATTGTACCTAACAAGAATAAAAAAAAACATGATAAGGTACATTAGCCAAACTAACACCTAAAACTAGGTAATATAAATTATTGTAAATTATTAACAAAACAAAATTCGTAATAAATACATAGACAGAATCCTGAGAAACAAAATTCCTAACATGGACAAAACTGAAACTTTTTTCTTGCTTTTTTTTTCGGCAAACTCAGAAATAAAATCGGCGATGTTTAGACTGTTCGCTATTTCGTGCTCAATAGATATTAAAGATAATCCGCTTAATCGTTCTTGTGTCATACTACTTGATCTCAGGTAATTCTCAATTATTTTGAGTTTAGAAAAACTTCTCTCTTCGGTTGCCACTGAAACCGGCAGCGTTAATAAGATTCTTATGGAGATGTAAATATTTGGACATTCTAATCAGATCGTGAATTTTTAAATATTTTAGTGTCTGTTTTGGACAACTGAACTTTTCGGCATTATCTGATGGTATTAGAGCAAGTAGAGCTAAAATCTCGTCCCGAAGCTCTAGGCCATTAATATCATGTTTGTCTCCATCCGTTAAATAGAGATGAAGATCCATACAGTGCTTTGTTATTTCCTCTCGGTTGAAATTCCTGAGAACTGTAAAGTCGTATAAAAAAGAAAAATAGTCCGAGTGAGCTTTTAACAGGTCAAATCTTTCCTGGAGAGCCTCATGGATTGTATCCAGAGAAAATCGATTTTAAACTTTTCCTGTGAATCTAAAATTGGCTCATCCACTGATTCACACAAAAACTGCCTAGTTTTTTTTTCTGTTTTTAAATGTAAAGAAACAAAATACCTAACTAAAATAGTCTATGTCTGTGTGTGGATACAAAAATGAATCATCAACAATGTTGACCTCCGCCATATTTTTTTTGTCTTAAGATCTTTGTTTTTAGGTTTTCTCGCACAAAAAATGTCTGGCAAAAGCAAATTCATCGTTTAATTTAATATTGTACTTTCATATTTTTAATGCCCCTTCTATGTATCATTATATTATTTGTTAGCAAAATAAAATACTAACAAGACAGATGACTGACAGTCTTGATCATCTGCTGTAAAAGTAAAGTGTTTTGGTGTATTGTGGTGATTTAGTGTTTTATTTTGCTGTGTAACACCAAAGGTTCCAACCCCCAACTTTAATCATTATTTGTTGCTATAAAATGTTTTTGTTTGAAATATAGATTTCTTGGTTCTGAAAATAAAAATACATAAATTAACTAGCGTGTACCAGCGAATTCGTTCGCGTCAAATTAATCATTTATAATGGTGATGATAAAGCAAAGCAAGAATTTCCATTAACATACAAACTGGATAAAATTTTCTCACATTTATGTCAGCATGAGAAAAAACAATATGGCGATATTATTATATAACTTGGTAATATTTGAGGGGTAGTTTCATCTTGTTGGAATTTGACTTTCGAAAAATCCGTTTGCCAAAAATAAGCTTTTTACGTCAAGCAGTTTAAGCAGAATCGTGGTTAAGAAATTACCCAACTTTTTGGAACACGATACACATAAGATTTTTTAAAAAACTTCAAAATATATAAAAACCAAATAAATTATGCTTGTCCAAGCGTTTTCACAAAAGACTAACCGTTTTTTAAATAACAAATTTTGTAATATTTGAGGGCGTTTTCACCCTCTTGGAACTTGAGATTCGAGAAACCCCTCCTTATCGAACCTCTACACTCCACAGTCAATCCGTTTGCCAAAAATCAGCTTTAAACGTCAAGCAGTTTAAGCAGAATTGTGATTACTCAATGGTCATCTTTAATGAAACACCCTGTATACATTTATAAAAAATCTTAAAATGTGTAAAATAACGAAATAAAATATACGTGTTTAAGAGTTTTTCCGGAAAACTCACCGGTTTTTAAATAAAAAATATTTTAATATTTGAGGGATAGTTTCACCCCCTTAGAATTTGAGTTTCGAAAAATCCCTTCTTATCGAACCTCTACACCCTAAAGTAAATCTGTTTTCCAAAAATCAGCTTTCTACGTCAAGCGCTTTAAGCAGGATTGTGATTAATCAATGACCAGATTTTTCAAAACACCCAGTATACATTTTTAAAAAATTTTAAAATATGTAAAAAAAACAAAATAAAATATACGTGTTTAAGCGTTTTCTCGGAAACTTGACCGTTTTTTAAATAAAAAATATTGTAATATTTGAGGGGTGGTTTCACCCTCTTGGAACTGGAATTTCGAAAAATCCCTTCTTATCGAACCTCTACACCTTAGAATCAACCTGTATATCAAAATTGAGCTTCTTACGTTGAGTGGTTTGAGCAGGATCGTGATTAATCAGTATGTCAGTCACTTAAGGATTTTATATATCAGTATAGATATAGAACGCGTTCTTATGAGTTTAAAATAAGCCAATAAAAACATATATTTTTAGTTAAAAACGCTATGACTAGCCACATGGCGGAATTTTAATTCATTATTTTATAAAATTGACATGGAGTCGGACACAAATCATCTAGATTATATCATATTTGTGTCTAAAAAGAGAGCAACACGTGTTTCGAAAATGAATCGACAATAAATGGAAACCTTGTTTCCAAAATGTTTCGATTTAGCGCTATCTGTGTAGAAATTTCGAACTAGTCACCTGTCAACAACGTTAATCAAAACTTCTGGTCAAAATAATTAAAACATTTGTATTTACTTATTATAACACAAAACATGAAAACATGTATTTCATTGTGGAAAAAGGGAAAAAAACGTTTGCTGGTAACATTTTTATGAGTATGGGTAATGGCTGTTATTACATTTATTCCTAAAACAAATCATTTCTGTAATGCGTATAATAAATTATTATAAAATCGCATAAGAAAAATATCTGTATTTGTACTCACCATATTATGTCCTTCCTTCTGCTTTTTTAATTACAGTACTATAAAAACTTGAACAATGCTTAAATGCAAAAACTGCAGAACAAAATCAAAACAATAAAGTAAGGTTATGTTCTCATATTTGACACATAGAATATCAAATAAATTATGGAAACCTTTCAGGCACAAAACGGGTATGAAATCCTTGTAAATGTGAGCCACATCTGTTTCTTTTTCCCAAACATTTGTGACACTAAGATCTTTATTGTTATAAAAACCATATTTTAGTAAAATATTTCCAAACATAAATCGATTTAAGTTACGAAACATATGTATCAAAGATGTGAGGAAACTGTTTTGCAATGTTTTTCAGCAGAGATTTTGTTTTGATTTTGTGTCTAAAAATGCTACTTGGGAAGAAACAACGGCGAATACAAATTCTGCGTGGAAAATGGAAAAAACCTCATCACTGAAAGCGCTGAGACGACAACCATTAATTTGTGCCATAAATTTTAGTAAGACTGATATCGGAGATGGAGATCTAATATTTGTAAAATCGTCTCGGAAACTGGCTTTTTTGCTAAGAACATTTTTTGATAACCCTGTATATATCCACCGGAAAATCACTGTAAAAGGGCGCAGCTCTCGATCCCGCATCCTTCGATGGAAAATTAACGTAATACTCAGCCGGGCTTAGCGCAGAATGAAAAAAAAAGGAACGTAAAATCAGCGCAACTCCGCTATTTCCATAGACCCACCTCGAACAGCGAACGCTTTAATATTAAACGCTTTTTCTGCTCGGTACTATCCGCCCAATATTTACAAAACGCTCGGTACGTTACCGTCGTGGATCAACCCAGCAATTCTACGGATCTGCGAACGTTAAACACCTAGATACATTATTTTTTCGAAAACTTGTAACCAACATGAAATCTTTTATTTGACGTCGCTTCGTAGTGTTAGTGTTGGTGTGAATGCCCGAAACCCGGTGAATGTCTACAATTACCAAGTTGCAGTAAATTGGACTGATCAGTGATAAGGTGTTCTGGTGTTTCTCTATTTTCACCACAGAATCTGTATTCGCCGTTGTTTCTCAGCTTCAGCCTTTTTCACCATTTTCACCACCAGATCTGCATGTTTACTACAAAATCAGTTTTACAGGGTTCTACTGCTTTATTTCCATTATCGATAACGGTAATTTGATCTTGAATAGGCTACGATTTTGAGTCACGACTTTAAGAAACTTTAAGACTTCCTGATGTATGTCTTCTCCGTCAACCGCAGAGTTCGCGTCAAATTCGTCTATCTTTTTACAAAGGGGAGCACGAAAAATATTGCACCGTGGCCCCCAGTTGTCAATCTACACTACA